CCCCCCCCGTTACTTATGGCAGCCAAAAGATGCAAAGCAGTAGCAGATCTTGAAGGCTGACATTAGAATTGAATTGGAATGGGTGTTTTAATTACATATATTTATGATCACTTTTTAAGAATATAGTGTGTATTTTAAGAATGTACCAAGCAGAATTCGATTGGAAGTTATGTATTATATTGAATGTTATAACCGAGTTGAATGGATAAAATTAAAAGATATAAAGGTGTCATACTGCAACTAGTAACTACAGGAGAAAATTTGCTAAATGAGAAAAGAAAATATAAAATTGAAACAGGACAGACAAAAGTATAAATATAATGATTTGAATTGATATAATTAAAATAAAATTGAGAAAATTAAGAGAGGAGAAAAATTAGGTAGAAAATGTAAAACAGTAATAAGATATGGAATAGAACATAAAAGTGAGCATGAAATTGAGTTTGTGTCTGTATGAAGAAGTGTAACCCGGGACCATGCTATTTTCAAAAAAAGATGTTTTATTTGTATTGTTTTTTTTTGTGAAAACCCAAATAAAATTTTCAATATATATATATGTTTATTTATATATATATATATATATGTTTGTTTTCTTAAGTTTTCGCGGGTACTTACATGTATGGCCTTCAGCTTTGTTCGGGTATTTTCCCACGTCATAGTAGTGGTGCTTTTAAAGTTGTAGCAACGTTTCAGCAGAATCTGATATGTATATATGTATATGTATATATATGTATATGTATATGATGTATATGTATATGTATATAGACAATTAAGAGACCCACAACTTGAGCTTGGGGTGGCAAGGTTAGCAAAATATAGCCAGCGCTAAAACTGATGGTTAATCTTTTTCCAGGTTCACATGATCCACAGTACTATAGGCTAAGCACAGGGCAGAAATCGCACAATAGGCTAGCTTACAAAGGGGCTGACTTGGTTGTGATTCAGTAGATCAGGCAAGTGTAGCCCACTGCATGGAAATGTGTCTTATTGTCCTTTCACTTAATGGCAACATCTCCTCTCCACAGGAGCATTGGCAATATAACTATTTGATGTAGTGGTTTAGGAAGCAGGCTAGAAACCAAGGGATTGTGAGTTCTAGTCCTGCCTTAGGTGACTTTGGGCCAATCACTAGGTGATTGCAAGTTCCCATTCTGCTTTAGACATGAAAGCCAGCTGTGAATTTGCGCCAGTCACTCTTTCTCATCCCAACACAACTCATAGAATTCTTGTTGTTCAGGGGAAAAATAGTAGGAGGGAAAAGTATTGTGTATGCAAGGTTGAATTTGGGTCAGTGACCAGGACCAGAGATTCATTCTTCTGAGGTTTTGGACTCTGGAATTCCCTGAAAAGAGGTCCAGCATGAGTCCGAAAGTTCAAAAGAGTAAATCTCTGGTCCCAGTCACCGACCCAAATTCAATCTTGCATCATTATCCTGGGACACGTATATTTGCCTTTATTCGTGAGTTATGTGTGTTCAACACCTTGAGTTATTTATAAAATAATAATAATAAACGGGAGATATAAATGAATGAATGAATAAACTATCCAACCCCTTAGATTCTCCAATCTAAGTTCTTTCTAGAATTTGTGCTGGCTGGGGAATTCTGGGAATTAAATTTCACACTTCTGCAGATTAAATAGAACGCAGAACACTCATCACTAGCAACATACAACTGGCATGGACAACAGGAAGGCTTGTGGAAAGAAAGGACACCGATCGGCTTCATCTAAAACTTAAACGCCAATTTTAACAGTTTATTTAATTTTCGGTACAGTGAAGAATGTGTACAGATCTACACGTAGTCCTGTAAAGAAAGAAAAACAAGGACTTGCAAGGCCGCCTGCTTGTCCACAGCAACATTTTCCCACCTTAAAGACATTTTTTTCTTATTTTTTATTTTTTTAAAAGAGAGCAAGAGAAGAATTTGCTTCCTCTAGCACATTCAGAATCAAAAAGAAAATGAAGTTTTCATTCAGGGGTGGTATCAAAAAATCTGCTGATATGGATGAGTGGATTTCACCAGATCATTAAATTACACTGATACTGCATTGTCTACATCCAACATGATTACTTAAGTCTCCCTGCATCATCCTCAACTCAACATTTATGGAACAAAGGCACTAAGATTTGAGGCACAGAAACAAGCTTCCTTCTCTCTTTAGCATCCTTCCTCCCCGGAAGCTTAAACATCCCAAAAATCCACCAATGTTTTCAGTCTTTAGGTAGTAAGAAATGTCCTCTTTTCCCCAGCTTTATTATTATTATTATTATTTTAATACGATGAACCATTTCTCCTGAAAAGCTTTGCATAGCGGTGGGCTATTTTATAAGCCTCTCTCATTTCGGAAGCGTTATTGATATTTCATCATCAGGAATAAAACGACCCCTCTGTCCTCAGAGGAGAGATTTCAGATATCTATGTCGAACTGGGCTTCTTCACCTGTGAAAGAGAGAGAAGATTAACCAAAATGTCTATGGAGATTCTTAGTCATCCAGATCATGGTTGTCCCAAAGATGCTTTTGCAAAAGGCATCTGTGATGACCCAGAGTGTAACACAAATGTAACAAAATCCAAAACGTAAATAAATGTCCTTTAATGCCTCCAACTTGCCCCCACTGTTCAATAATTCTCAGTTGGAGATAAAACGAACTCAAAAATAGTCTTCAAAAGAAAGCAATACAGTCCGAACTTAATGAGCAGATAAGAGGTGAAATAAAAAACCAAACAAATTACAATGACAAAATTTCCACAATGGACCAGGATAAGAAATTACCAAATTCAAGGAGATAACAAGGCACAGTCTGTTGGAAGGACACCAACCAAGATAACTTCAGCCCAAAATAACACACACTTTGCTTCTGGCAATGCTGTGTTGTAATCGTCTCTCTTATATACTAGTCTCCCCAGCTGCAATCAATGATGAGGATCATAGCCGCTTCCTCTCTCATAAGCCAATTTATTGCCTTCTCCGTTCCTCCCTGCGTGTCCTAGGATGCAGAGGGGATGGGCCTGGTTCTTCCTTTGACTGCCCAGCCGGCCTCTGCCCTTCCCCAGCCTCCTCCACAACCTGTGTCACACCTCCACTGTTGGCTGTTCCTCCTCTCCCTCAGAGTCCGACTCTACCAAGGGCATGACAGCATCTGGACTTTATTTTTCCTTGAAGATGTTTCACTTCTCATCTAAAAACTTTTTCAGTTCTGAAGAAGAACTAAAGAAGCTTCTTGGGTGAGAAGCAAAATGTCTTCAAGGAAAAAACAAAATCCAGATGCCTTCAAGGAAAAAACAAAATCCAGATGCCTTTTGAAAAAGTACCTTTAGAATTGACAAAAATTTCAATTTCATGTGTATTCACTGGATGCCACGTATGCTTGAAAGCTTTACAACTCAATGTTTTCCTTAACATAAAGAGGAATAATAGCCCACTCATTCCAGTTTTAACTGTGGAAATTCATTACTACTTCATATATGAGTGCGACTTTAGGAAAAGGAACATATACATAGTAATTGACAACTTATAATCCTTCAGCAGTCCAGTCTGGCAAAGGACAATAGAATTATTGCTTTGAAAGCTGGTGGTTTAGGGGCAGAATAAGCCTGTAATCTTTGCAAAATTTACTTCAATGTTCCCAGCAGAGAACAAAATATGCCCTTTTAAAAAAATCTCTTTTGGTTACTAGTTTCAATAGTGGTTTTGCTGCGGCAAAGCAGTCAACGAAGATGCTGAGAACTGGGGAATTCCAAGAAACCTTACCAATCTCAACTTGGTTCCTTTGCAACCACAATCTATAATCATAGGACTTATTTTGTTCGGACAAAAGAAACAGCCTAAACAGACAAAAACAAAAGACTCAACGTTCTTGGGACTAAGTCACAATTCTGACATGAAAGCTATTCTGCTGTATTCTGAAAACAAGCTGTGAGAGTTAAGCAGTTAAAAACTTTTTTTCTGCACAACAGCTTATGACTACAATAAAGCCCAACATTTCTGTTACTTGTTAGTAGCAATAGCAATAGCAGCTAGACTTATATACGGCTTCACAGTGCTTTTACAGCCCGCTCTAAGAGGTTTAGAGTCAGCCTCTTGCCCCCAACAATCTGGGTCCTCATTTTACCCGCCTCGGAAGGATGGAAGGCTGAGTCAACCTTGAGCTAGTCAGGATCAAACTCCTGGAGTGAGCAGTGACTTAGCCTGCAGTATTGCATTCTAAGCACTGTGCCACTGTGGCTCTGGTTTTAAGTGAATTTTGCCCCTTTTTACAACCTTTCTTGCCACAATTAAGTGAATCACTGCAGTTGTTATGTTAGTAACATGGTTTTTAAGTGAATCTGGTTTCCCCATTGACTTTGTCAGAAGGTGCGCAAAAGGTGATCACATCGTCCGGGGAACTGCCACCATCACAAATGTGAATCAGTGCCCAAACTTTGATGGGCATGCTACAATGGTCATAAATGTAAAAAACAGCCATAAGTCTCTTTTTAAAGTGCCATTGTAACTTTGAGTGGTCACTAAATGAACTGTTGCAAGTCGAAGACTACCTGTGTATGATCATGTACAAAGGTAGATATAAATTGATAAGCTTATTAAACATGTATTTCACTGAAATTTACTGTTACATAAAGAATTTTCATGGAAGTTGTAAAGTTTAAAAGAAAGACAAAATATAAATTAAGGCCCTTCTTTGTCAAGCATGCCCTGCCTCACAGCTTCCAAGAAGATGTCTGTGGAACGTCCAAAGTGAGGGAAGGAAAACAAAAAGCATCTTTGGTATTCAGACAGACACAGAGTTTCACAACATGGAGGAAACCAGTCAAACACCTGCTAATAGGCTACTCTTCCTGTATAATGATTTAATTTCCTTCCTTAGCATCTAAATCACTCATCATTTAGTAGGAAATTCTGCACTGGGGTGTCCAACTTTGGCAACTTTAAGACCTGTGGACTTCAACTGCCAGACGGTTACTGAATTGTGTAGGGAATTTAAATGGAACTCCACAGCAGGGGTCCCCAACCGCCGGTCCGCGGACCGGTACCGGGCCGCGGAACAAGCCTTACCGGGCCGCTGGTTGCTGGGCGCCGCCATCTTTTTTGACGAAAAAGTGCTTCCAGTGAGGTCACCGGAAGCACTTTTTCGTCAAAAAAAGATGGCGGCGCCCAGTTGACGCCGGTACCGGGCCGCGGCGCCCAGCTGATGCCGGAACCGGGCCGCGGCGTCGAAAAGGTTGGGGATCACTGCTCCACAGGCTTTGTGCACCTGGCAGCAGTTATTCTAGGACAGGGGAGTCAAACTCAAGGCCCGTGGACCAGATCTGGCCCACAGAGTGATTAGATCTGGCCAACAGGGCAGCCCTGGAAACAGTGAAGGACCGGGCTGAGGTGCCCCTGCCAATGAAAACAGAGGGTTGCAGGAGGCTGTTGCAGCTGAAAACGGAGCTCAGGAGCCTGTTTTCACTGGAAGAGCACTTGGGTAGCCCCAGGCGCCCCTGACACGAGTGATGTTGAGCTACCCCGCCCACCCTGGCCATGCCCTCCCCCCCCCAGGTCAAACAGAACCCTGGTGTGGCCCTTAATTAAATCAAATTTGACACCCCTGTTCTAGGAAATGAGAGAGAGAAGAATTCTAGGCCTGTTTGGTCTAGTGCAGTGATGGCAAACCTTTTCCATGTTGCGTGCCAAAATTGCACACGTCTGTATCCATGATGCATGATGCACATGAACTCCCCCCACCCCCTGCGCATGATCCCATGCACACACGTGCCTCTGCGCATGCGCCCCCTGTATGCCACATGCCCCTGTGCATGCGTGCACGTCTCCCACCACGCATGCGCGGCAGATACCCGACAATCAGCTGGCTGATGGGGGGCGCACGCATATGCACAGTGGGGCTCTTCTGGGCAACCTCTCGCGTGCTGGCAGAAGTGGCTCTGGCAGATGTGCCATAGGTTCGCCATCACAGGTCTAGTGGTTAAAGCACCTGGCTAGAAAGCTGCAGATTGTGAGTCTCTATACTCCTTTCAAATAATGGCGGCATCTCCTCTTCACAGGACTACTGGCAGTATAACTATTGGATCTAGTGATAAAGACACCAGGCTAGAAACCAAAAGACTGTGAGTCCCCATTCTGCTTTAGCCATGAAAGCCAGCTGGCTAGTCACTCTCCCTCAGCCCAACCCACTTCACAGGGTTGTTGTTGTTGGGAAAATAGGAGAAGGAAGGTCTGTCTATTAGATATGTTCAGCATCTTGAGTTATGTATAAAAATAATAAAAGTGGGTTACAAATAAATAAAATGTTCACAATACCCATGAAATTTCATGTGGTCATTAGACCCAGTATTCATGGTGAAGCATCTATGGTTTTTATGACAGATCAAAACTGACCAGGCTATCTTGGTTTGGCACAGAGAAAGGCAATGTCTGTAACCTAACTCAGCAACCATATATTGTGATTTGTACAGGTGACCACACACCTAAGCCTGGTTTCTCGTCTTCAGCAGACATGAAGTTGATCTCAGTCTGGAGTTCATCCATACTTGGATTTGTTACACCTGGAATGTCTGGAAGATTGCAAGGTGGTGTTTTGGCAACTGGAGAGTTTCGGCATGCCATTAAGAATTTGCGGTCATAAATAATGCGGGTACCTATAAGAGAAAGACAGCTACAATTTACTGTTGTTTTTAGAGAGTTAAAGAACCAAATATTGCTCAAAAAGAAATTCCAGTTAACCTGCCATGTTATCTATACTGTACTTTTGTATATAATTTTTATTCAAACTTTTAAAGGAAAAGATAAAAACAAATGGAAATTAATGTAAAGTAAAAAAAGAAAAAATTCAAGGAAAATTGCAAGAAAAGTTGTAAAAAAATAGAAAGAGGGGGGAAAGTATATATAAGTGGCTTGTGATATTCTTCACAGCAGTTTTAAATAAAATATATTTTAACCTCTTTCTAAAGTTATATCCTATTATTGCTGTTTTTTAAAATAATTTATCCTATCCAATCATCAAAATCATAATAACAAGTTCATTTTTTTTTTGTTTTTATACAAAAAGTCCAGTTACCAATGATTGTAGATAATGTCTTTTCTCTAACCAAAAAAATAAGTTTATTAATTTCAGGAAAAAAAAATTCAGCTTCACCAACCATTCCTCCATTGTGGGTACTGTCAAGTCTTTTCATATCTAAGTAGACTGCACTTTTAATATTCGACAGCTTCTTGTCTTCCCCAAATAGGGTTGGATTTAGGCTTGTTTTCACAGCATAGCTAAGTTTTTCTTCTTTGCTATTTAATAATAGAATCAGGCTACTTTACATAAAAAGCAGAAACTCCTGAGGAAAGTGAAGGGTAATGCACAGAAGCCAATAAACTGGGAAAATAGATTAAGGTTCATCATAACCCATGGTCATAAAACTGTGGCTTTCCACAACAATAAAAGCTGGCCAGTACACACGGTCTGAAGCACTGATGATTAATAGTAACTGAGAAGTAAGCAGCGTAACATAATTGCTATTTGATTATCTGGACAGTTTTACAAGGAGAAGTGCATATTAGCCTTTCTTTCCCTTTTTGGGCAAAAAGAATAGAACAAGGATGGAAGCAAAACAAGGGATGATATGCAATCTGTGTAAGTTCACAACCATTGAGGCTGCATAAAACTTGTGAACAGATCTGATTCTTCTGCTTATTTCAAGGTCTACTCTATCATTAAGAATTGCTGGTTCTTCTTTGTCTGGAGGAGTGTCCAAACGTGGCAACTTTAAGACTTGTGCCCTTCAATTCCCAGGCTTCCACACCCAGGGGGGTCCTAAAGTTGTCAAGGTTGCACACCCCATTCTAGAGCTACTTGCTCTTCAGGCTCCAAGAAGAAAGGCAGAGATGGTCCCACAACATTAGAGTCTCAATTTTTCCCTTTCCTAATTTGTCACCTTTCGCAGGTATTCTCCACCACATGAAAGGTCTCATGGGAGCTATTAGAACAGGAGGGAAACAAAGCCCCATTATTGCAATAGATAGGTATATGGGTGACCACTAGAAGGAGCCTTGCACTTTTATTTTGCTTCTGAACAGAGGCATTACGTAAGACATTTGCAAGTCCTCTGGTTGGGCTAAGAAACTGACTCCTAGTTTTGAAATATATATTCTACATTAGGTAATCAAGTCCTGAATAGCCACCAACCCTAGATCTTCATCCATGCATTAAGCAAGCTACACACTATTTACATTTTTCAGTTGTAACTTAGCCTTTTGCCACTTCAATAGGACCAAGAAAAAAGAAAAATGTACAAGTCTTCCTTAAAAAAAAGACTGTGCATTAACAGCAGAGGAATCCTTACAGCTAATTTTGGCTGAGTAGTATTTCGGTTTTGATATTTTTGTATGCTTGGTTCAGCTTCACTGCACCTGAAATTCTACGTCTCTCTTTGCCTGCTGACAACAGGATTCAAAAGCAAGTTTGTCATTTTGATAGACTTTTTCAGAGAAATATTCAGTAACGTTATTGTTCCTACTGAGTTCTTAACAAGATTCTTTCTGCCTTTGCAATTGCCCTCCAGCAGGAATGTAATGACAGAGAATTAGGGAGAAAAATGTGTATATTTTCAGAATTTATATTCAACATTGAGCTGGCCAAGCAACTTTCAAATATAGCTTTAAGTACAAATCTTTTACAACCTAAGCCAAGAAAATCTGAACTTTTTTTTTAAGGCTTAATGTTAAACTCAACAACCCCAAGCTTCAACCTCAAAACCACAATGTGGGTATTTGCCTTATTTGTAAATTTTATTGTGGTCATTGACCAATTCAAACACACACACACATCACAAATTCCGAGATAGCAAGTAAAGACAGTAAGAAGACTTAATTCTAACACCGAAGAGATCAAAATGTGACATGTTCCACAAAGAGCAAAACAAAACGTAGCCACATTTAGAAAACCAAGCCACCCTGGTCCGTCTCGAAGGAAATTTGATTGGATGGAGTGCTATTAGCTGTAACTGGGCATTTTGGTAACAAGAATACCAAAGCATTGGGTTTAAATTTCAGCAGTTGCCTTAGATTTAATTAAACTCCAGTAATTAAAAAAAGCAGGTGGAATTTTGGTTCTACCAAGACTTTTGGATGCAAATATTTTTTGCTACTGAATTGGAATTTTAAGATGACTAGATAATTATTAAAAATATGGGGATAATCATAACAACTGTTATCAAATTAATTCAGCTTGAATTAAATTTATATTTAAATGCAAAGCAATAGCCAGAGCCCACTTCCATTGGAAGCATTAGGCCTTGTATAATCTGCTTCTCAAAAGCTGGATGCAAAGATTAGGAAAGCACACCGGGTGAGAACCTGTGGCTCTTCTCTTGCCATTTCCACTGGCCAGGCGAGGATTATGGGAGTGTAAGTCTAGCAGCATCCAAGAATGTAACGTAGCTCAGTGTCCTCACTTTTCCTCCTAAGGAGAGCCATGCTTTTACAATTACACCAAGGAACACGATGGCTTTTTAAAAAGTACCTAAGCTCTGCTGCTAAAGAAGCACTATTTCCTTGGTGATATTTCGATCAAACTTTTCAAAACACATTTTTTTAAAAAAGGGTTGGTGAAAAATGGATGACAAAAAAACAGATTCCCTGTTCAGAGCAATTAGAACTAAATTGTTTTCCAACCCTCTGAGGTTTGGTGCGTTTCCAGGGACAAGGTGGGTGGAGCGGGGAGGGATTCAACGGTTGGGAGTCCACAGCGCAGAGCTCCACCCGATGCTAAACAGCAATGAATCAGGATTTGCAGACAAGCGGCTTTCACTGCTTCTGATGCCTGCCAGCTGCTGGAACGCCCGCAGAACAAAGACTGTTTTCCTAGAAATGTTGTCACTGTACCAATTATTGAAAGAACATTTCATAAGGGGTTCACTGGAGGTCTGTATCCCTGCGTTTATATTCAGACACATGCTCAGGCATTAAGCTGTTTGCTTAATGCCATAGCCAGGCAGGGTGAAAACAGAGGCTTTGAAATATTTTCAGTTGCTGGAGGGGAGACAGAGGACTGGGTGCCTGCTTCCTAAGAACAGGAAACAGTTGGGCCGATGGATGGGATTTTGTACAGACATATGAGGGGGGGAGGGGGTCCTTGGTGCTCTCCAAGCTTGTTCATTTTCTTGCAGACATTTCATTACCCAAACTAGATAAGATCACCAGTCCTAGTCTAGAGTCATGAAAACATCTGCGAGAAAACGAACAAGCTCGAAGGACCCCTCATTTCAATCCCCAAGCTACGAATATTCTCCTTTATTGATACATACACACTAAACTTTGAAACAAGAGAATAAAAACGAAGACAAGCTATTATAAAGTGGGGGGGGGCGGGCGGAATTGAAGAGAAAGCAAAAAGTGCAAGAAAAAAAGCTGAAGAAAAATAGGAAAAGATATAAAGAAGTGACTTCCAATATTCTTTGCAGCAGTTATAAATATAAGCATATTTTAACTTCTCTCCCTCCGTCTCCCTCCCCACCTCTGAAGTTATATGATTTTCTTTCTATAATCGTGTCTAGTAATCAAACCCATAAATCACAAGTTCTTTTTTTATGTTTTTGCAAAAAGCCAGTAAGAGGCTTCCCCTCGTTTTTATTTCTGTATCTAAAGTTCTTCATATTTTTATGTTCATGATAAGCCACCCAAGTTACTTTGCCAGTTGGGATGGACAGCATATAAATTCAATAAATAAATAAGTCAATAAAATATTTTCTCTCATCAAAGAAGTCAATTTATTCATTTCAGCAAAATCTGTCAGCTTCACCAACCATTCTTCCACAAGGGATTCCTTGGTTTTTTTTTCCCCTGGAAGAGCAGATCTCACTCATATGAAACATAGACAGAGGAAGTCTAGTGTGGATTGGGCCTATGAAACTAGATGGACTGTTTTGGTAACACCGCTCTCAATATTTACGCTTCTGGGTTCTAAGGACGTTCCTTGCTTACAAGCCAGTTTACTGAAGGTAAACAAGCTACACAAGGAGAGTTTTTAGCTCCTGGCTAAATGTTCTAGGTTTCTAAAGCTACTCTTGGAAGTGGTTAGTTCAGCATCTGTTTTTTCTTGAGGGTGACATGGAGGCAAAGATGCTATATATTGGACAAAGATCTTCTGAAGGCAAAATAGCTACTTCTTCCTTGAATGGTATGTTTTTGTTCAGTGCAGAATATTTTTTTTCCTTGTCTTCGTACCGAACTACATTGTACCATTCGTTAGAATATGTACCACAAAATCAGTCGGTCGCATAGATGAATGAGGCCATCTATTTGCATTGGGATGGTATGTTGGTCAGCATGCTTCTCACAGTGGACTATTCCTTTTTATTCTAGGACAGGAAACAGCATTTGAGAAAGCTCTTCTAAAAACAAATGGAAGTTTCTTGCCGGCATTCCAAAACAGATTCCCAATTTATTTTACAACCTCAACACATTCCTATCTGGAAGCAGAAATAATGGCAAGATTGGTGGCACAGTGGTTAGAATACAGTATCGCAGGCTAACTCACTGCTCATTCCCAATAGTTCAATTCTGACAGGCCCAAGATTAACTCAGCCTTCCAAGGTCAGTAAAATGAGAGACCAGAGTGTTGGGGCAAATATGATCAATTCTCTGTAAACCA